TTATGCGAGAATCCGTGAACGAACATAGATATGAATCTTTGAACGAAAACGAACAAGAGAGAGAGAGACAGAGAGAGAGAGAGAGAGAGAGAGAGAGAGAGAAAGAAAAAGAGAAAGAGGAGGATAGAGAGGATTGATATAGAGAGGAGAAAGTGAGAGTAGAGAGAGAGGAGAGGGGAGGGAGATAGATGAGAGAGAGAGGAGAGGCGAGAGGAGAGGCGAGAGGGGAGAGAGGAGATAGAGAAGAGAAAGTTGAGAGAGAGAGAGGAGAGAGAGGAGAGAGAGTGAGAGAGAGTGTGAGAGAGATATAGAGAGGAGAAAGTGAGAGTAGAGAGAGAGGAGAGGTGGGGAGACAAATGAGAGAGAGGAGAGAGAGGAGAGGCGAAAGGAGAGAGAAGATAGAGAGGAGAGATGAGAGAGAGAGGAGAGAGAGGGAGAGAGAGGGAGAGAGAGAAAGTGAGAGTAGAGAGAGAAGAGAGGAGAGGGAGACAGATGAGAGAAAGGAGAGGCGAGAGGAGAGAGAGGAGAGGAGAGGCGAGAGGTGAGAGAGGAGATAGAGAGGAGAAAGATGAGAGAGAGAGTGAGAGAGAGTGTGAGAGAGATATAGAGAGGATTGAGATAGAGAGAAGAAAGTGAGAGTAGAGAGAGAGAAGAGGTGGGGAGACAAATGAGAGAGAGGAGAGAGAGGAGAGGCGAAAGGAGAGAGAAGATAGAGGGGAGAAAGATGAGAGAGAGAGGAGAGAAGAGAGAGGGAGAGAGAGAGTGAGAGAGAGAAAGAGGAGGGACAGAGAGGATTGAGATAGAGAGGAGAAAGTGAGAGTAGAGAGAGAGGAGAGAGGAGGGAGACAGATGAGAGAGAGAGGAGAGAGTGGAGAGGTGAGAGGAGAGAGAGAAGATAGAGAGGAGAAAGATCAGAGAGAGAGGAGAGGAGAGAGAGGGAGAGAGAGAGTGAGAGAGAGAAAGAGGCGGGATAGAGAGGATTGAGATAGAGAGGAGAAAGTGAGAGTAGAGAGAGAGGAGTGGGGAGGGAGACAGATGAGAGAGAGAGGAGAGGCGAGAGGAGAGAGAGGAGAGGCGAGAGGAGATAGAGGAGATAGAGAGAAGAAAGATGAGAGAGGAGAGAAGAGGAGAGAGAGGGACAGAGAGAGAGGGAAAGAAAGAGAAGAGAGAGAGAGGAGACAGAGAAGGAGCATATTTATAAACTCACCTGGCAAATGCATCAAAATGCTATTTTCAAGCAATGTTTTCTAAGTCTGCTACGTCAGTTCAATATCCATGTATATATATATATATATATATATATATATATATATATATATATATATATATATATATATATACAGGAGTATATTTTCATCCAAGCGTTTTTCATTAAGTAATACAGACATATTATGTCTATTTTTATAATAATCCTTTCTATGACTTTTAATATAACTGTAATATTTGTAATAATGTATTTGCGAAGGTGCTCTGCTATAATGAATTAAATAAATAAATAGAGATACAAGCAACCATACATGCGTGCAATCATACGCATATATAAATTTGCAAATAAATATTATAATTAAATTTTGGGTGTTAACAAAACAGTAATCAATGTGGGAATACGGAGCTATAACGTATATATGCATAAATATATATATTGCCTCAAGTCAAACATACGATTCCGACTTACATGTTCAATACAATATTACGTTTACCAGACTGGGAATTCGTAGAGATTATAAACAAAATCGTCATCGTCATTTGCAGGAGAAAACGCTGTCTCTTCCGGGGTTCTACTCGGCCACACACACACACACACACACACACAGAAAAAAAAAAGAAAGAAAAAAAAAGAAAGAAAAAAAAAAAAAACATCGCAGTCCAACCAAATTCAATTACCCATCTGAAGAATGCATATCACCTCCTCGAAAGTCCTTATTCCTTTGTAGGAGAAATACAAACGAGGTAATTCAATGAACTAATGAATTCTTTATCCAATATGCACGATTTATTGATAAGGAGCATTTTATTTAGGAAGATTGACGGTGGAGTAATGGATAGCGGCTCGGATTGAAGAATCAGAAAGCCGAGTTCGAATTTCCGTCGAATCCATTATATTCACTTACGTGCTAATACCCTTGGGAAAGGTATGAATTTTCCCCCAGCTATGGGTAAATAGCAGGACAGACCGAGTTCTATAGCCTTGGATTGCAACTGGTCTACCGAAGAAAGAAATGCAACTTACTTTGGGAAAAATATGCCTCGTCAGTCAGGTATCGAAAGATACATGATCGCCTAAGCGTTTATCACGTATGGCACCGATGTAATCATCAAAACATTTGTTAATATTAACCAGGTGAAAAATATGAAACACGGAGATAGAGCTTCCAAGTTTGGAATTTTCGAACACGCCTGTGTTCTTTATCAGCGGATGCAAGAAATGAACAGAGGGATGTGGAGACTATCCAACATTAGTTCTTGAAGCTGGGTAGAGTCCTGCTTGTAGGTGGAATTGTTAGAAAAAAATCCGTTCCCTGTTTGATTTCTCGCTGGGAGTACTAAAAATAAACTTAATATGAAAAGAGGAAAAACATACAAAAAATAGATGTGTTTATATATATATATATATATACTTGTGTACCCGTGCCAAGAAGGAATGTATTATAAGTAGTAAGTATTACATCATAAGTAATTTTCATTTAATCCAAGTACAATTTTATAATTTAAAACTGTTCGTTGTTAACATTAATAATTGAACAGTGTACAATGTATAATCACCTCAGGAAAAATATCCATATTTTACCCTCAATGTGTGCGTGTGCGTGTGCGTGTGTGCGTCGTTAAGGACAGTCGATCACACAAACCAAAACTCCTCGAAGAAAAGTAACTTTTTGTGAAATTTAATTCAGGCTGAAATAAAATATAAACCTCAGCAAAGTTTTGAATAATATATATACCTATCTCCTTCTCTTTCTTTCTTTAATTCTTTCACTCTTTCTATCATTGCAGTTGTGTATCGGTTTCTTTTCGTGGTTATTTTCCATAACTCCTTTCGCTTTGATCGTAGTTCGCACAGAGGGGGAAAGAAGGTGGTTACTTTGTAGTTTTTAAGCGCGGTAGTTTCTTGCGTGTGGACGGGAATGGGGTCATGACTTCTGTGAAGCTCGTCAAAATTTTGCACACTGCCCCTCAGCACACATACAAAATCATATATATATATCCTGTTACTTTTGCCACCTTTCCTTTCCTTTCTATTCTTCATTTTCTTTTTCCCCCTGTTTTTCTTCTTTTCTTTCCTCTCCGTAGTTTATTTTCTTTATTTATTTAAAAAATTATCATTCACTGTTTTAAAAAAAATAATCCTGTAAATTTAATTTTACAAGGTGAAAATGATCATTTACATAATGGTATCTTAATTCCGATTGTATGATATATATATACATATATATATATATATATATATATATATATATATATATATATATATATATATATGTGTGTGTGTGTGTGTGTGTGTGTGTGTGTGTGTGTGTGTGTGCGTATTATATTTGAGGATTCCTCTTCATTTTCTTATCTCAGTTAAGACATACGCCATCTGACATGCCTAGTTTCTTATTTAAGATCTTGTCTATTCTTCGGCCAAGATTTGGCAGTCATAATCAAGCTAGCATTTGTGTAGTACTCGACTCATTACATAACGGAATAGGCTAAATTATTAATTGATAACGTTTTCAATTTATTCGTCAGAAAATACAGAACTAACCTCCTCTGACGCTCAAACAATCATTTTCTCGAGAAATTATATATTACACATTCTGCTATTTGTATGTGAAGAAGAATAAGCAAGCCTGATTATTGTTTCATTCCCTGAAGTGACCGTTTTTAATATATCTTTTTTTATTCCAAATGTCATGTCCTTTTCCCGATATACGTGCTGATGGCTCTTCACTGTTTCCTTTTATTTGATTTGATTTATTCACTTTTGATGTTTTATCAACCCTTTGTATGTTATTTGAAACCAGAAAATATTTTTAGATTGTAAGAATTTTTTCTTTAGTTATACAAGCCTTACAAATTAATCCACACCTGGGAGAAGGGAGAGGAGGTAGATGCATACGTTTCTCAAGGGAATTTGCGTTTAAGTAAATATAACGAACCAAACCCAACAGAAATTTGAACTCGGCTCTCCGATTAACAATTCCGAGCCATTATCCATTACACCCCTTACTTTTTATAGCCAGGTATAGTTTTAGATCTGAAAATCATTTTTTAGATAATGATGCTTGAGAAATACAATTCTTACTAATTAACCCATAGCAGCCTAGGAAGTGTTGGATTCATGCCTTTTACAAGGGTATATGCGCGTAACAGAGTACAACGAACCCTACCAGAATTGGAACATGTCCCTCTGATATCCAATTCCGTCAAATTACTCACACCGCCAAGCTTACGGTAGCTGATAACCCGGTAATCCTAAGTTGTCACCCATCTAAGTACTGGCCAGGATCGATGTTGCTGAACTTCGATGATCGTACAAGAGCCGGTGTTTCAATGTGATGAAAGAAGGCTTGGAAAAAGAATGAAGAAAAACGGGCAAAAAAGAGAAAAGGTTTCAGGAAGACAGAAAATGGCGATCGACATTACATTTGAATTTTAGAAGATTGTGGGTTAATAGATGGCCACTTCTATTCAAGGATACCTGTCTACTAGGGCGGCTAGTTAATCCCTATTGTAGACCCATGCTCAGGCTCATTTTTCAGTTTGTTCAACACCCAGGGAGCCCACTATGAGTTACGGTTTCTGGGAGAGAAGCGTGTTGTCTAGCGTGATCCAAAATCTGAACAAGATCAACACGCTCAAACCCTAGATCACGATGACTTGTGACTTCGGGCTAGCTCAGCCATCGTCGACGGCCCCTAATTTTCGTCAGCGCAATTTCACAATGTTTGTGTCAATCCGTGGTAGGGTTTTCAGGTACTGGAATCGTTTCCACTAAACCGACAAATCGACTATAGTGAGCTTCGAACTCGGGTCTCATGGTCAGAATTGCGAACGCTCTAACCTCTATGGCATGAGCCCATGGCATGGTAGCATGGAAGCAATAAACTGGAAGGAAGTTCCATAAGCCTATAAAGTACGAGTGAAGAAACTATTAGAATAGAACTTACGGTTATATCTAGCTATTCTTAACAGTAAAACAGTGAGACCTCATTGCCAATCAAAATGGCGCGTTTCTATGACATTATCTTGCTTGTTCTGAATAATATATATATATATATATATATATATATATATATATATATATATATATATATATATATATATATAAGTGCATAAGTATGCAGAAAATAGAAAAGCACGTTGGGTGCATAATCCGGAGTTCCTTAGTATTTTTGTTTTTATTTTTAAGAAGACAGTGCTCCATACAGAAGTAGAACTTATATTATAATATTTTTTGTTTAAAAAAAGGAAGGAATCATATTTTTAAAAAATATTAAAATACTATATATATATATATATATATATATATATGTGTGTGTGTGTGTGTGTGTGTGTGTGTGTGTGTGTGTGTGTGTGTGATATGCTTAAATTCATTTGGTCAAGGTATCAAAGATTAAAGTACATCAGAATAATTTCCATGAAAATTTTTATAAAAAATTAATTCAGGGTAGCATTGTCAAAGCAGCGGGAAATTGAATGAAGTCGAGATGCCAGGTCAAGACCGATAATATTACAGACCATTCTTTGGCTTTTTGAGAATATCTAAATTTTTATAATTCACACTTTTTCAATTACAGGGACACAAGTCTCTAAATAGTTCATCTTCTTCTTCTATGCAATAAATGCGAATGCCAGTGAGACACAAGCCTCTTTTTAATATCTCATTTTCGTTATCTATAATAATAAATGTTAATGTCTGTGCCACTGTCGCACTTCTTTCAATTAAAGGAACAAAACTCTGTAATTTTTAAATATCTGATCTTCTTCTATATAAATAAATGTAAATATCAGTGTGTCACAATTTTTCAACTTTATTCCTAGAGGCCGTAGCCCAACATATATCATTTTGGAATCAGGCCGACTCCGCGAGCAAATTAAACACATCCCGGGGCGGATATGGACATGTATTTCTGAAATTTTTCGATTCCTAATTTTTCATTCCTGCAATTGTTTTCGGCAATTTTTTAAGTGATTTTTTGCGACGAACGTTTTTGTACGATAACTATTTTCATAACCTGGAAATAAATTTGATGATAAACGAAATTAACTGCGAAATCTAGCGAAATTCACCGATGAAATAAAATAATTGTTTATACGGAAAGTAAGGACCTACGTACATCAAATTGTCTTTAAATGAAAATGGCGACATAAGCATTATCGTTGAATTATTAAAAGGTAAATTTAAATATCAATGCAATACTTAAATGTCGCGATAGATTTTCAGTTTCAATGTAGTATATTGTTGCCTATCGAATACAGCAGCAGTATGCCTCGCAAAACGAAACCTCCGCCAACAGAGGACCAGATTGCAGTCAAAAGAACCAAAATTGCAGAAAGAAAAAGAAATCCCCGTGTAAATGAAAAGCCAGATCAAACGGCAGCCAGGAGAGCTTCCAATGCCGAGAATATGTACAGACTTAGGGACTTTCAAATTCCTGAACAAGGCAAAAGCCTTATCAAAAGATTTCCGCAGGATTTAGCTTAATAGCCATCCTATAGCAGGGCGGGGAAATTAGTAATATATATATATATATATATATATATATATATATATATATATATATATATATATATATAATAAAAGACATTATTTATAAGACATTTTTAAAAGCAAAATCTAAAATAAAAACAACCGGTTTCGTCCCAGGACTTATCAAGTTTATTTATTCTGGGAATTTAAAA